GCGCGTGCAGGAGGGATTAGTAAACGCGGGTGTAATATAGATCTGACGTGGGCCCTCAGCCCTAAGGATGACCCCATCAAGATCGCCAGTGCGCCTTTGAAACGGTATGCTCGGGAGCGGCGGCAGTCTTCGGAACCGTCTCCCCGCGGGCCCAGGCGCCATTCGGATGCAATGGGTGCTGGCGCCCTCAGTAGGATTTTTTGGTCTTGCGAATTTCAGTTCAAGGGTTCCTCGGGCAAACCGGCCATGCTTCCCTGGCTGGAAGCTGGAGGGTGGCCCTGGGAAGGTTTCGCAATTTTCAGGTCCGCTCAGGGCAAGCGTTGATTGTTAACGGAGTCCCCGCCCCAGCAAATTGCCGACGCTGTCTCGGCCGATTTGGCGCCCAGGTTTCTGCGCACATAGGTGGCTAAAGTTTTAGCTTGCGCACCCGGCCCTGGCGCCCAGGCGAGGGGCCCACGGCCCCCTGCCTTGGCGAGGGTTGCAAAAGGCCTCGAGCGAGGTGCAGGTCATTTGTTCCGACGGGTCCTGTCAGGGGCCCTGCCCGCATGAGATTTCCTGAAGGTCTGGGGCTACGATGTGGACCCAGTCTGTCTGGTGTGCAAGGCCCGGCCTGACGCGGCCTGGCGCCGCATGCGGTGCGGCCAGAGTCAGGGGGCTGTCCGCAGGAGGGATGGGGCATTTCGGTGGCAATTTCCTGCGCCAGGTGCAGGCGGCAGGCCCATCTTGTTTGTTGTTTAGTAGACTCTGGCCTGCCTTCCCTGACCCCCCCCCCGCGAGGATTGGACTTTGAAATATGTTGGCCCTGGCGGGCAAGGGGTTGCGACACTCAACTTCAGGTCGGATGAGGCAATCTTCTCCGATGGGCCCTGCTCTCCAGGAGAGCGGGCCGAGATTTCAAGAACTGGTTTTGGCCTCGTCTCGATGTCTGACTCGGGCCAGAGGCTCCGAGGGATATAGCCCTCTACCGGAGCGTTTTGACCAGACCAGCGCTGACGCTGACCACGCTGGCCTCGCCATCTCTGTCATGCGCCGAGAACCCCCGGCTTCCGCCGCCCCCCCCCCCGAGCCTGTGAGGGTGGATTTTTCGGGATTCTTCTCGGGGGCCCCTCGTGGGCGCTCTCAGGGAGGTCTCGTTTTAGCTACTGGCAAGAAATCAGTCGCAGAGTTGGTGGTGAGTGCTGGCCGACCTTTGAAAAGGCCACTTTCAGTGGGGCAGTGGATGACCGCGATTTCTTGAACATAGTTTGTTCCACTGTTTCAGATCTGCGCGCCAAGTTAGGGGCGCAACTATGCGCGCATGCACAATTTGCGCCCCCGAGAGCTCGAAGATTTTGACGAAGGTGAGGCGGCATATTCTAGCCTTGTGATCGGAGCCATGCACATTCGCGGTGCGCGGCCAAGTTTCGAGTGGCAGTTCGGCAAATTGTCTGGGCTCCCGAAGGTTAAGTCCAGGACTGGAGCTGGCCCTCGGCGTGACCCCATCCGTCGCGGGTGGGTCTTTAGGTGTCTTCGATGTCTCAGGATCGTTTCCAACAGGACCACCACCCCCTGCCGGACCCTCTCCCCGACCATGTCGCCCCTCCCGCGGGGAGGGGCGGGGTCAAGGCGCAAGCTGAACTGGGCCAGCTAGGGTGGTGGAAACCGAGAAAGTGCGCCAGTGGATCTCCCTGAATACATTAAAGGTGTGTGTGTGTGTGTGTGTGTGTGTGTGTGTGTGTGTGTGTGTGTGTGTGTGTGCGTGTGTGCGTGTGCGCGCGTGCGTGCGGGGGGGGGTCCAGAACGCCCCCCCCCCCTTCCTCCCTTCAAGGAGGGGGGGGGGGTCCGGGACCCCCCCCTTCCCCTGTTCCCCTCTTAAGGAGGGGGGGGGGGGTGGGGGAACCCCTCCCCCCCCCTTCCCTTGAAGAGGGGGGCGGGGGCCCGGCCCCCTCCTTCCGCCCCCCCCCCCCCCGTGTAGGGGGTGCGGAGTTGGGAGTGGGGGGTGGTGAGTAGTGAGTAGTGAGTTAGTGCGTAGTGAGTAGTGAGCGAGGGAGGAGGGAGTAGGTAGTCGTGAGTATTGAATAGTGAGTAGTGTGTACTCATAAGTGAGTAGCGAGTGGCGAGTAGTGGGTAGTGAGTAGTGAGTAGCGAGTAGCGGGTAGTGAGTACTCAGTAGGGAGTAGGGAGTAACGAATAGTGGGTAGCGAGTTAGTGCGTAGTGAGTAGTGGGTGGCGAGTAGTGATTAGTGAGTAGTGAGTAGTGGGTACTGCGTAGTGCGTAGTGAGTAGTGAGTAGTGAGTAGTGAGTAGTGAGTAGCAAGTAGTGAGTAGTGAGTAGTGAGTAGTGAGTATTGAGTAGTACGTAGTGCGTAGTGAGTAGTGAGTAGTGATGAATAGAGAGTAGTGGGTAATGGCAGTGGGTAGTGAGTAGTGCGTAGCGAGTAGGGAGTAGCGCGTAGCGAGCCGTGAGGAGCGAGTAGGGCGTAGTGAGTAGTGAGTAGAGAGTAGTCAGTAGTGAGTAGTGGGCAGTGGTTAGTGAGTAACGAGTGGGGAGTAGCGAGTAGTGAGGAGTGAGTAGGGAGTAGGGAGCATGGAGTAGGGAGTAATGAGCAGTGAGTAGTAAGAAGTGGGTAGCGAATAGTGGGTAGTGAGTAGCGATTGGTGAGTCGTGGGTAGTGAGTAGTGACTAGTGACTAGTGAGTTGTGACTAGTGACTAGAGACTATGTGCTGACTAGTGAGTAGGGAGTAGTAAGAAGTGTGCAGTGAATAATGAGTAGCGGGGAGTGAGTAGTGAGTATTGAGTAGCGAGAATGGGAGTAGCGAGTAGTCAGTACGGAGTACTGTGTAGTCAGTATTGTGTAGGGACTAGTGAGTAGCGAGTAGCGAGTAGTGGGTAGTGAGGAGTGATATGTGGGCAATGAGTAGTTAGTGATGGGTAGTGAGTAGTGGATAGTGGGTAGTGGGTAATGAGTAGTGATTAGTGAGTAGTGAGTAGGGAGTAGTGAGTAATGCGGAGTGCTTAGCGAGTAGTGAGTATTGAGTAGTGGGTAGCGAGGAGTGAGTAGTGAGTAGCGAGTAGGGAGGAGGGAGTAGTGAGTAGGGAGTAGTGAGGAGCGAGTTGTGGGTGGTGGGTAGTGAGTAGTGGATAGTGAGTTGTGAGTCGTGAGTAGTGAGTAGGTTGTAGTGAGAAGTGAGTAGCACATTGCGAGTAGTCAGCAGTGGGTAGTGAGTAATGAGTAGTGAGTGCTCTTTGGGGCTGGGGTTAGTGGTTGGGGTTAGGATTAAGTATTTGGCTTAGGGCGAGGACCAGGGGTAGGGGTGGCGGGGGTCGGGTTTGGGAGTCAGGGGGCGGCGTGGCGAAAGGGGGGGGGATCGGACCCCCCCTTCCCTTTTGAAAAGGGGGAGGGGGGGGGGGTCCCCGACGACGGGTCGGGGAAAGGGGGGAGGGGGGGGTCCCCGACGACGGATCGGGGAAGGGGGGGAGGGGGGGGGTCCCCGACGACGGATCGGGGAAGGGGGAGGGGGGGCGTCCTAACCCCCCCCCTTGCGGAGATCCCGCGGTGCACCCTCGGAAGCCGATGTCCCGATTATGTATTGCGTGCTTTGTGGTGGTGTGGTTTCGCATCGGTTAAGTCCGATAAGCTTTCGAAACCATGTTTGAATCCGAAGCGGTCTCCTGAAAGGTCGAAGCTTCTCCGTGGGCTTCTACCGGGTTTTAGCTACACCCTGGGACAAACCTTTCCCCTCTCGTCGCTTCCTTCCTTTCCTTTGCCCCCTTTGCCGCCTTCCCCTCCCCCTTCCTTGTCCCAGGGCGGTAGCGTCACTCCTAGTGCTCCTACTCCTGTCCAAGGACCCTTGGTGGTGCCGACCCCGACCCTTGAGGGAGCCCGTGTGTTGGACGAGGGGGGGGACGAAGAGCCCCTTCTTCCCCCAATCGGTGGCAAGTTCCGTCGAGTGATAATGATTATATGTAGTGAGGTGCCTGCTGCTCCTAGAGTGACAGGGCACCCTTGTTGTCTGCGTGGTCTGCGAGGAGGGGGAGGGGGAGGGGGAGGGGGAGGGGGAGGAGGAGGAGGAGGAGGAGGAGGAGGAGGAGGAGGAGGAGGAGGAGGAGGAGGAGAGGAGGAGAGGAGGAGGAGGGGGAGGGGGAGGGAGGTGGAGGAGGATGAGGGCGAACAGAAAGGGCAGAAGGCTCTTGGAGGCCTGTTGGAGTCTCTTCGGATTTCTGTCCAAGAGTTTCGTGGAGTCTGCTTGGGGTGTCTTCGGTATTTCTTGGTAGTCCCAGGGGCTTTTTGGGGCGTGTTGGGCGCATCTTGGGAGCCTCTTGGGGCCTCTTGGGATTCCCTTGGGAGCCTCTTGGAGGCCTCTTGGGGGCCTCTTGGGGCCGTCTTGGGGCACCCTTGGGAGTCTCGGGGCTTCGGGATCGTGATTGCGATGCAATTTTCACATCACCAAGGCGGTAGTGATGGATAAGGCCCCGCCTCGTACGGAAGACCGAGGAACAACGAAGCTGCATACACAGGAGTTCTCTGAGGTCCGCTCGGACATGTTGGATCGGCGCTGGGCTTCCCTTGGTGGCTCCTCTGGCGCTGCCCGTGGCGCGCTTCGCGCGCCAGGGAGGGCAGCGGGTCTAAAGAGCGCCGACCCGTCCAGATTTCAGCAAGTCGCCGTTTTGGCTCAAGTGCTTCCTGCAGCCAGAGTGATCTGCGAACATTCCCAGCCACATCCCAACCTGCCACCAATGACCTCGGCCACGGAGCGCATGGAACTCGCGGAGGCCGGCGGCGAGGCGAGCGGGTCGGAGCAGTTCTTGGTCCAGGAGGCTCGCGCCAGGCGTTCGCCCTGGCGGGCGGCGGGTGGCGCAGGCGTGGCCGCCCTGCTCCTGGCCGGCGCAGGCGCGGGGGCAGCGCGCTTGGCGCTGCACGGGGCTGCCTCGGACACGGACCGCCTCCAGAGTAAGGTGCAGACGGTTGCCCTGCCGCCGCGCGACAAGTGCGCCAGCACGGACGACGACTGCTACAGCCTGGGGTGCTGCAACGTTGCAGGCCTGAACTGCTTCGAGACCAAGCCGGGGAAGGGCAAGTGCCTGAAGAACTGCACCCCCAGCGCCTCCCAGTTGTGCGTTCAGACACAGCCGATCATGGACCCGATCCTCAAGGATGCCGACTGGTACGGCCCGTCATTGTACTGCTTCGCAGTGGTCATGCAGGACATCGGCAGCACAAAGAAGATGTACGACTTGGAGCTGCTCCAGGGAGCATACGGCAGGAAGACCAGCATCTTCGGGTGCGAGAACTGGGGAGTATTCAGCGACAAGGAGGGGGAGGTCGGGCCCGGCGCTCCGCTCGTGAAGCTGGAGGATGCCGACGGGGACTTCCATTTCGCGAAGAGGGAGGAGACTGGCACCTGGCTGAATACGGGGTTGCATTACCAGGCTTGGAAGGCAATTGGGGAAGCCGGCGTGTACAAGAGCGCCAGCTGGGTCGTGAAGGTCGATCCAGACGCGGTGTTCGTGCCGAGCCGCTTGGTGTCTTACCTCTCTAGCAAGGTGGTCCCGGCCAACGGCCTCTATCTCGAGAACTGCAAAGGCGTGAAGTACGGGTGGTTCGGCAGCTTGGAGATCTTCTCGGCGGTGGCCTTCGAGACGCTCCTGGGGTCGATGGCCTCGTGCAAGGACACAGTCGATTGGAAAACGGGCGTTGACGGAGGCAAGTACGGCCCCATGGGCGAGGACTTGTTTGCGCAGGTTTGCTTAGACACGAACGGCGTCTCCCGTGGAGAGGCATTCGGCACCAAGCTGGACGGAACTTGCGAGGCGGACCGGCCAACCGCCGAGAAGAAGAACAAGAAGTGGAAGCCCTCGTGCGACGGCGAGAACTTCCCGGCGTACCACCCGCTGATGAAGCCCGAGGACTATATGGCGTGCTTGGATGCCACCACCAAGGCATTCGGCTACTGAGCGCCCTACGGGAGCGGGTGCAGCGGCGGTGCGCCAGGCAGAGCGCCCAGTCCGTTTGCCTCCTGCGCCCCGCGCCCGCAGTTTTTGGTCATGCAGGCCTTTTTCGCGCTGCCCTGGCCACTCCTCACTACACAAAGCTGGTGCTGAGCCAGGATGTGTCTGAGGCAGCAGGCAGCCTGGCGCTGCTTAATTATGGGCGTCCCCCATTTCTTCCTGTTAGTTCTGACAGCCCCAGTGACCAGCGACAGCCTCACCACCGTAGTTATGCAGTTCCCTGCCGTGGATCAGCATCTGCTCTTCCACGGGGGCCTCTGCGGTGCTCTGAGCCTCATATGCGTGTATACTTTCCCGATCTGCATCGATGCGGCGAGGGCACCAAAGGACAGGGCTAACGACGGCAGGGGTGTGTATGTCAGGTGCAACGTTCATGGGGGGATTGGCTAAGGGGGAGATGCATCGCCCCCCCATCGCCCATTCATCGCCGATCCGGGCCCGATAGCCCACACCGCCCAGGAACGCGCGGACTCGCTGTCGGGGCCCGTCGCCGATCGATCGGCCATGTATCGATGTTCGCCCCCCCCCCTCCACACACACACACACACACACCTGAGCCAGTCCCCTCCTCTCGTTGCCCCTCAGTGTGGAGGGGTTCGGGGGGCAGGGCGGGAGGGAGAGCAGGAGGCCAGGCTGGCCGCACTGAGCAGTCGAGGTCGGCTCCCCCTCCCGACCGCCCTGGCCAAGTTCCTTGCCAATCGCCCGTCGACATCCTGACGAATTCTAGACGCCTCGCGTAACCCAGCCCATCGAGAAACGATGCCCAGACGAGTTGCCCTGTTCAGGAATGTGGAGGAGCATGCAGTGGATTCAGTTGCTGGGCAAGACGTCCTGTCCAAAGAGGGGGGTGGATGGAGGAGGAATGGGAGAAAGAGTAGGACGGGGAAGAGGAGGAGGAAGAGGAGGAGGAGGAGAAGGAGGAGTGGACGGGGAGAGAGGAGGAACGGGTGGATGAGGAAGAGGCGGAGGAGGAGGTGGTGGAGGAGGAGGTGGAAGAGGATGAGGGCGAACAGAAAGGGCAGAAGCCTCTTGGAGGTCTCTCGGAGTCTCTTCGGATTTTTGTCCAAGAGCTTCGTGGAGTCACCTTGGGGTGTCTTCGGGGTCTCTTGGCAGCCCCAGGGGCTTCTCGGGGCGTGTTGGGTGCCTCTTCGGAGCCTCTTGGGGCCTCTTGGGGTTCTCTTGGGGTTCTCTTGGGGTCCTCTTGGGGCCGTCTTGGGGCCGTCTTGGGAGCCTCGGGGATTCGGGATCGCGATTGCGATGTAGTCTTCACATCCCCAAGGCGGTAGTGATGGATAAGGCCCCGCCTCGTACGGAAGACCGAGGAACAACGAAACTGCATACACAGGAGTTCTCGGAGGTCCGCTCGGACATGTTGGATCGGCGCTGGGCTTCCCTTGGTGGCTCCTCTGGCGCTGCCCGTGGCGCGCTTCGCGCGCCAGGGAGGGCAGCGGGTCTAAAGAGCGCCGACCCGTCCAGATTTCGGCCAGTCGCCGTTTTGGCTCAAGTGCTTCCTGCAGCCAGAGTGATCTGCGAGCATTCCCAGCCACATCCCAACCTGCCACCAATGACCTCGGCCACGGAGCGCATGGAACTCGCGGAGGCCGGCGGCGAGGCGAGCGGGTCGGAGCAGTTCTTGGTCCAGGAGGCTCGCGCCAGGCGTTCGCCCTGGCGGGCGGCGGGTGGCGCAGGCGTGGCCGCCCTGCTCCTGGCCGGCGCAGGCGCGGGGGCATCGCGCTTGGCGCTGCACGGGACGGCTTCGGACACGGACCGCCTCCAGAGCAAGGTGCAGACGGTTGCCCTGCCGCCGCGCGACAAGTGCGCCAGCACGGACGACGACTGCTACAGCCTGGGGTGCTGCAACGTTGCAGGCCTGAGCTGCTTCGAGACCAAGCCGGGGAAGGGCTAGTGCCTGAAGAATTGCACCCCCAGCGCCTCCCAGTTGTGCGTTCAGACACAGCCGATCATGGACCCGATCCTCAAGGATGCCGACTGGTACGGCCCGTCATTGTACTGCTTCGCAGTGGTCATGCAGGACATCGGCAGCACAAAGAAGACTTGGAGCTGCTCCAGGGAGCATACGGCAGGAAGACCAGCATCTTCGGGTGCGAGAACTGGGGAGTATTCAGCGACAAGGAGGGGGAGGTCGGGCCCGGCGCTCCGCTCGTGAAGCTGGAGGATGCCGACGGGGACTTCCATTTCGCGAAGAGGGAGGAGACTGGCACCTGGCTGAATACGGGGTTGCATTACCAGGCTTGGAAGGCAATTGGGGAAGCCGGCGTGTACAAGAGCGCCAGCTGGGTCGTGAAGGTCGATCCAGACGCGGTGTTCGTGCCGAGCCGCTTGGTGTCTTACCTCTCTAGCAAGGTGGTCCCGGCCAACGGCCTCTACCTCGAGAACTGCAAAGGCGTGAAGTACGGGTGGTTCGGCAGCTTGGAGATCTTCTCGGCGGTGGCCTTCGAGACGCTCCTGGGGTCGATGGCCTCGTGCAAGGACACAGTCGATTGGAAAACGGGCGTTGACGGAGGCAAGTACGGCCCCATGGGCGAGGACTTGTTTGCGCAGGTTTGCTTAGACACGAAACGCGTCTCCCGTGGCGAGGCATTCGGCACCAAGCTGGACGGAACTTGCGAGGCGGACCGGCCAACCGCCGAGAAGAAGAACAAGAAGTGGAAGCCCTCGTGCGACGGCGAGAACTTCCCGGCGTACCACCCGCTGATGAAGCCCGAGGACTATATGGCGTGCTTGGATGCCACCACCAAGGCATTCGGCTACTGAGCGCCCTACGGGAGCGGGTGCAGCTGTGGTGCGCCAGGCAGAGCGCCCAGTCCGTTTGCCTCCTGCGCCCCGCGCCCGCAGTTTTTGGTCATGCAGGCCTTTTTCGCGCTGCCCTGGCCACTCCTCACCACACAAAGCTGGTGCTCAGCCAAGATGTGTCTGAGGCAGCAGGCAGCCTGGCGCTGCTTAAGTATGGGCGTCCCCCATTTTCTTCCTGTTAGTTCTGACAGCCCCAGTGACCAGCGACAGCCTCACCACCGTAGTTATGCAGTTCCCTGCCGTGGATCAGCATCTGCTCTTCCACGGGGGCCTCTGCGGTGCTCTGAGCCTCATATGCGTGTATACTTTCCCGATCTGCATCGATGCGGCGAGGGCACCAAAGGACAGGGCTAACGACGGCAGGGGTGTGTATGTCAGGTGCAACGTTCATGGGGGGATTGGCTAAGGGGGAGATGCATCGCCCCCCCATCGCCCATTCATCGCCGATCCGGGCCCGATAGCCCACACCGCCCAGGAACGCGCGGACTCGCTGTCGGGGCCCGTCGCCGATCGATCGGCCATGTATCGATGTTCGCCCTCCCCCCCCACACCTGAGCCAGTCCCCTCCTCTCGTTGCCCCTCAGTGTGGAGGGGTTCGGGGGGCAGGGCGGGAGGGCGAGCAGGAGGCCAGGCTGGCCGCACTGAGCAGTCGAGGTCGGCTCCCCCTCCCGACCGCCCTGGCCAAGTTCCTTGCCAATCGCCCGTCGACATCCTGACGAATTCTAGTCGCCTCGCGTAACCCAGTCCATCGAGAAACGATGCCCAGGCGAGTTGCCCTGTTCAGGAATGTGGAGGAGCATGCAGTGGAATCAGTTGCTGGGCAAGACGTCCTGTCACAAGAGGGGGGAGGGTGGAGGAGGAATCGGAGAAAGAGGTGGAAGGGGAAGAGGAGGAGGAGGAGGAGGAGGAGCAGGAGGAGGAGGAGGAGGCGGAGGAAGGGAAAGAGGAGTGGAAGGGGAGAGAGGAGGAACGGGTGGATGAGGAAGAGGCGGAGGAGGAGGAGGAGGAGGTGGTGGAGGAGGAGGTGGAAGAGGATGAGGGCGAACAGAAATGACAGAAGCCCCTTGGAGGCCTCTCGGAGTCTCTTCGGATTTTTGTCCAAGAGCTTCGTGGAGTCCCCTTGGGTGTCTTCGGGGACTCTTGGCAGTCCCAGGGCCGTCTTGGGGGGTGTTGGGCGCCTCTGGGGAGCCTCTTGGGGCCTCTTGGGGTTCTCTTGGGGTTCTCTTGGGGGCCTCCTGGGGGCCTCTTGGGGCCGTCTTGGGGCACCCTTCGGAGTCTCGGGGCTTCGGGATCGTGATTGCGATGTAACTTTCATATCCCCAAGGCGGTAGTGTTGGATAAGGCCCCGCCTCGTACGGAAGGCCGAGGAACAACGAAGCAGCATACACTAGAGTTATCGGAGGTCCGCTCGGACATGTTGGATCGGCGCTGTGCTCCCGTTGGTGGCGCCTCTGGCGCTGCCCAGGGCGTGCTTCGCGCGCCAGGGAGGGCAGCGGGTCTAAGGAGCGCCGACCCGTCCAGGTTTCAACCAGTTTCCGTTTTGGCTAAAGGGCTTCTTGCAGCCAGTTTGATCTGCGAACATTCCCAGCCACATCCCGACCTGCCACCAATGACCTCGGCCACGGAGCGCATGGAGCTCGGAGGCCGGCGGCGAGGCGAGCGGGTCGGAGCAGTTCTTGGTCCAGGAGGCTCGCGCCAGGCATTCGCCCTGGCGGGCGGCGGGTGGCGCAGGCGTGGCCGCCCTGCTCCTGGCCGGCGCAGGCGCGGGGGCATCGCGCTTGGCGCTGCACGGGGCGGCCTCGGACACGGACCGCCTCCAGAGCAAGGTGCAGACGGTTGCCCTGCCGCCGCGCGACAAGTGCGCCAGCACGGACGACGACTGCTACAGCCTGGGGTGCTGCAACGTTGCAGGCCTGAGCTGCTTCGAGACCAAGCCGGGGAAGGGCTAGTGCCTGAAGAATTGCACCCCCAGCGCCTCCCAGTTGTGCGTTCAGACACAGCCGATCATGGACCCGATCCTCAAGGATGCCGACTGGTACGGCCCGTCATTGTACTGCTTCGCAGTGGTCATGCAGGACATCGGCAGCACAAAGAAGATGTACGACTTGGAGCTGCTCCAGGGAGCATGCGGCAGGAAGACCAGCATCTTCGGGTGCGAGAACTGGGGAGTATTCAGCGACAAGGAGGGGGAGGTCGGGCCCGGCGCTCCGCTCGTGAAGCTGGAGGATGCCGACGGGGACTTCCATTTCGCGAAGAGGGAGGAGACTGGCACCTGGCTGAATACGGGCTTGCATTACCAGGCTTGGAAGGCAATCGGGGAAGCCCGCTTGTACAAGAGCGCCAGCTGGGTCGTGAAGGTCGAGCCGCTTGGTGTCTTACCTCTCTAGCAAGGTGGTCCCGGCCAACGGCCTCTACCGCGAGAACTGCAAAGGCGTGAAGTATGGGTGGTTCGGCAGCTTGGAGATCTTCTCGGCGGTGGCTTTCGAGACGCTCCTGGGGTCGATGGCCTCGTGCAAGGACACAGTCGATTGGAAAACGGGCGTTGACGGAGGCAAGTACGGCCCCATGGGCGAGGACCTGTTTGCGCAGGTTTGCTTGGACACGAACGGCGTCTCCCGTGGAGAGGCATTCGGCACCAAGCTGGACGGAACTTGCGAGGCGGACCGGCCAACCGCCGAGAAGAATAACAAGAAGTGGAAGCCCTCGTGCGACGGCGAGAATTTCCCGGCGTACCACCCGCTGATGAAGCCCGAGGACTATATGGCGTGCTTGGATGCCACCACCAAGGCATTCGGCTACTGAGCGCCTTACAGGAGCCGGTGCAGCGGCGGTGCGCCAGGCAGAGCGCCCAGTCCGCCTGCCTCCTGCGCCCCGCGCCCGCAGTTTTTGGTCATGCAGGCATTTTTCGCGCTGCCCTGGCCACTCCTCACCACACAAAGCTGGTGCTTGAGCCAAGATGTGTCTGAGGCAGCAGGCAGCCTGGCGCTGCTTAATTATGGGCGTCCCCCATTTTCTTCCTGTTAGTTCTGAAAGCCCCAGTGACCAGCGACAGAATCACCACCGTAGTTATGCAGTTCCCTGCCGTGGATCAGCATCTGCTCTTCCACGGGGGCCTCTGCGGTGCTCTGAGCCTCATATGCGTGTATATTTTCCCGATCTGCATCGATGCGGCGAGGGCACCAAACGACAGGGCTAACGACAGCAGGGGTGTGTATGTCAGGTGCGACGTTCATGGGGGGATTGGCTGAGGGGGAGATGCATCGCCCCCCCATCGCCCATTCATCGCCGATCTGGGCCCGATAGCCCACACCGCCCAGGAACTCGCGGACTCGCTGTCGGGGCCCGTCGCCGATCTATCGGCCATGTGTATCGATGTTCGCCCTCCCCCCCCCCACACCTGAGCCAGTCCCCTCCTCTCGTTGCCCCTCAGTGTGGAGGGGTTCGGGGGGCAGGGCGGGAGGGAGAGAAGGAGACCAGGCTGGCCGCACTGAGCAGTCGAGGTCGGCTCCCCCTCCCGACCGCCCTGGCCAAGATCCTTGCCAATCGCCCGTCGACATTCGCACGAATTCTAGACGCCTCGCGTAACCCAGCCCATCGAGAAACGATGCCCAGACGAGTTGCCTTGTTCAGGAGTGTGGAGGAGCATACAGTGGACATATGGGCTGGGTAAGACATCCTATCCGAAGAGGGGGGAGGATGGAGGAGGAAGAAAGAGGAGGAAGAGGAGGAAGAGGAAGAGGAGGAGGAGGAGGAGGAGGAGGAGGAGGAGGAGGAGGAGGAGGAGGAGGAGGAGGAGGAGGGAGGAGGAGGAGGAGGAGAGGAGGAGGAGGAGGAGGAGGAGGAGGAGGAGGAGGAGGGAGGAGGAGGAGGAGGAGGAGGGGAGGAGGAGGAAGAGGAGGAGGAGGAGGAGGGGGAGGGAGTGGGAGGAGGATGAGGGCGAACAGAAATGACAGAAGCCCCTTTGAGGCCTCTTGGAGTCTCTTCGGATTTTAGTCCAAGAGCTTCGTGGAGTCCCCTTGGGGCGCCTTCGGGGTTTCTTGGCAGTCCCAGGGGCGTCTTGCGGCGTGTTGGGCGCCTCTGGGGAGCCTCTTGGGGCCTCTTGGGGTTGTCTTGGGAGCTTCTTGGAGGCCTCTTGGGGGCCTCTTCGAGCCGTCTTGGGGCACCCTTTGGAGCCTCGGGGATTCGGGATCGTGATTGCGATATAAGTTTCACATCCCCAAGGCGGTAGTGATGGATAAGGCCCCGCCTCGTACGGAAGGCCGAGGAACAACGAAACTTCATACACTGGAGTTCTTTGAGGTCCGCTCGGACATGTTGGATCGGCGCTGGGCTTCCCTTGGTGGCTCCTCTGGCGCTGCCCGTGGCGCGCTTCGCGCGCCAGGGAGTGCAGCGGGTCTAAAGAGCGCCGACCCGTCCAGCTTTCAGCAAGTCGCCGTTTTGGCTCAAGTGCTTCCTGCAGCCAGCCTGATCTACGAACATTCCCAGCCACATCCCAACCTGCCACCAATGACCTCGGCCACAGAGCGCATGGAACTCGCGGAGGCCAGCGGCGAGGCGAGCGGGTCGGAGCAGTTCTTGGTCCAGGAGGCTCGCGCCAGGCGTTCGCCCTGGCGGGCGGCGGGTGGCGCAGGCGTGGCCGCCCTGCTCCTGGCCGGCGCAGGCGCGGGGGCAGCGCGCTTGGCGCTGCACGGGGCTGCCTCGGACACGGACCGCCTCCAGAGCAAGGTGCAGACGGTTGCCCTGCCGCCGCGCGACAAGTGCGCCAGCACGGACGACGACTGCTACAGCCTGGGGTGCTGCAACGTTGCAGGCCTGAACTGCTTCGAGACCAAGCCGGGGAAGGGCAAGTGCCTGAAGAACTGCACCCCCAGCGCCTCCCAGTTGTGCGTTCAGACACAGCCGATCATGGACCCGATCCTCAAGGATGCCGACTGGTACGGCCCGTCATTGTACTGCTTCGCAGTGGTCATGCAGGACATCGGCAGCACAAAGAAGATGTACGACTTGGAGCTGCTCCAGGGAGCATACGGCAGGAAGACCAGCATCTTCGGGTGCGAGAACTGGGGAGTATTCAGCGACAAGGAGGGGGAGGTCGGGCCCGGCGCTCCGCTCGTGAAGCTGGAGGATGCCGACGGGGACTTCCATTTCGCGAAGAGGGAGGAGACTGGCACCTGGCTGAATACGGGGTTGCATTACCAGGCTTGGAAGGCAATTGGGGAAGCCGGCGTGTACAAGAGCGCCAGCTGGGTCGTGAAGGTCGATCCAGACGCGGTGTTCGTGCCGAGCCGCTTGGTGTCTTACCTCTCTAGCAAGGTGGTCCCGGCCAACGGTCTCTACCTCGAGAATTGCAAAGGCGTGAAGTACGGGTGGTTCGGCAGCTTGGAGATCTTCTCGGCGGTGGCCTTCGAGACGCTCCTGGGGTCGATGGCCTCGTGCAAGGACACAGTCGATTGGAAAACGGGCGTTGACGGAGGCAAGTACGGCCCCATGGGCGAGGACCTGTTTGCGCAGGTTTGCTTGGACACGAACGGCGTCTCCCGTGGAGAGGCATTCGGCACCAAGCTGGACGGAACTTGCGAGGCGGACCGGCCAACCGCCGAGAAGAAGAACAAGAAGTGGAAGCCCTCGTGCGACGGCGAGAATTTCCCGGCGTACCACCCGCTGATGAAGCCCGAGGACTATATGGCGTGCTTGGATGCCACCACCAAGGCATTCGGCTACTGAGCGCCCTACAGGAGCCGGTACAGCGGCGGTGCGCCAGGCAGAGCGCCCAGTCCGTCTGCCTCCTTCGCACCGCGCCCGCAGTTTTTTTGTCATGCAGGCATTTTTCGCGCTGCCCTGGCCACTCCTCACCACACAAAGCTGGTGCTGAGCCAAGATGTGTCTGAGGCAGCAGGCAGCCTGGCGCTGCTTAATTATGGGCGTCCTCCATTTTCTTCCTGTTAGTTCTGACAGCCCCAGTGACCAGCGATAGCATCACCACCGTAGTTATGCAGTTCCCTGCCGTGGATCAGCATCTGTTCTTCCACGGGGGCCTCTGCGGTGCTCTGAGCCTCATATGCGTGTATATTTTCCCGATCTGCATCGATGCGGCGAGGGCACCAAAGGACAGGGCTAACGACAGCAGGGGTGTGTATGTCAGGTGCAACCTTCATGGGGGGATTGGCTAAGGGGGAGATGCATCGCCCCCCATCGCCCACTCATCGCCGATCTGGGACCGATAGCCCACACCGCCCAGGAACGCGCGGACTCGCTGTCGGGGCCCGTCGCCGATCTATCGGCCATGTGTATCGATGTTCGCCCTTCCCCCCCCCCACACCTGAGCCAGTCCCCTCCTCTCGTTGCCCCTCAGTGTGGAGGGGTTCGGGGGGCAGGGCGGGAGGGAGAGCAGGAGGCCAGGCTGGCCGCACTGAGCAGTCGAGGTCGGCTCCCCCTCCCGACCGCCCTGGCCAAGTTCCTTGCCAATCGCCCGTCGACATCCTGACGAATTCTAGTCGCCTCGCGTAACCCAGTCCATCGAGAAACGATGCCCAGTCGAGTTGCCCTGTTCAGGAATGTGGAGGAGCATGCAGTGGAATCAGTTGCTGGGCAAGACGTCCTGTCACAAGAGGGGGGAGGGTGGAGGAGGAATCGGAGAAAGAGGTGGAAGGGGAAGAGGAGGAGGAGGAGGAGCAGGAGGAGGAGGAGGAGAAGGAGGAGTGGACGGGGAGAGAGGAGGAACGGGTGGATGAGGAAGAGGCGGAGGAGGAGGAGGTGGTGGAGGAGGAGGTGGAAGAGGATGAGGGCGAACAGAAATGACAGAAGCCCCTTGGAGGCCTCTCGGAGTCTCGTCGGATTTTTGTCCAAGAGCTTCGTGGAGTCCCCTTCGGGGTGTCATGGCAGTCCCAGGGGCGTCTTGGGGCGTGTTGGGCGCCTCTGGGGAGCCTCTTGGGGCCTCTTGGGGTTCTCTTGGGGTTCTCTTGGGGGCCTCTTGGGGGCCTCTTTGGGCCGTCTTGGGGCACCCTTGGGAGTCTCGGGGCTTCGGGATCGTGATTGCGATGCAATTTTCGCATCCCCCAGGCGGTAGTGATGGATAAGGCCCCGCCTCGTACGGAAGACCGAGGAACAACGAAGCTGCATACACAGGAGTTCTTTGAGGTCCGCTCGGACATGTTGGATCGGCGCTGGACTTCCCTTGGTGGCTCTTCTGGCGCTGCCCGTGGCGCGCTTCGCGCGCCAGGGATGGCAGCAGGTCTAAAGAGCGCCGACCCGTCCAGCTTTCAGCAAGTCGCCGTTTTGGCTCAAATGCTTCCTGCAGCCAGCCTGATCTGCGAGCATTACCAGCCACATCCCAACCTGCCACCAATGACCTCGGCCACAGAGCGCATGGAACTCGCGGAGGCCAGCGGCGAGGCGAGCGGGTCGGAGCAGTTCTTGGTCCAGGAGGCTCGCGCCAGGCGTTCGCCCTGGCGGGCGGCGGGTGGCGCAGGCGTGGCCGCCCTGCTCCTGGCCGGCGCAGGCGCGGGGGCATCGCGCTTGGCGCTGCACGGGGCGGCCTCGGACACGGACCGCCTCCAGAGTAAGGTGCAGACGGTTGCCCTGCCGCCGCGCGACAAGTGCGCCAGCACGGACGACGACTGCTACAGCCTGGGGTGCTGCAACGTTGCAGGCCTGAACTGCTTCGAGACCAAGCCGGGGAAGGGCAAGTGCCTGAAGAACTGCACCCCCAGCGCCTCCCAGTTGTGCGTTCAGACACAGCCGATCATGGACCCGATCCTCAAGGATGCCGACTGGTACGGCCCGTCATTGTACTGCTTCGCAGTGGTCATGCAGGACATCGGCAGCACAAAGAAGATGTACGACTTGGAGCTGCTCCAGGGAGCATACGGCAGGAAGACCAGCATCTTCGGGTGCGAGAACTGGGGAGTATTCAGCGACAAGGAGGGGGAGGTCGGGCCTGGCGCTCCGCTCGTGAAGCTGGAGGATGCCGACGGGGACTTCCACTTCGCGAAGAGGGAGGAGACTGGCACCTGGCTGAATACGGGCTTGCATTACCAGGCTTGGAAGGCAATCGGGGAAGCCCGCGTGTACAAGAGCGCCAGCTGGGTCGTGAAGGTCGATCCAGACGCGGTGTTCGTGCCGAGCCGCTTGGTGTCTTACCTCTCTAGCAAGGTGGTCCCGGCCAACGGCCTCTACCTCGAGAACTGCAAAGGCGTGAAGTACGGGTGGTTCGGCAGCGTGGAGATCTTCTCGGCGGTGGCTTTCGAGACGCTCCTGGGGTTGATGGCCTCGTGCAAGGACACCGTCGATTGGAAAACGGGCGTTGACGGAGGCAAGTACGGCCCCATGGGCGAGGATCTGTTTGCGCAGGTTTGCTTGGGCACGAACGGCGTCTCCCGTGGAGAGGAATTCGGCACCAAGCTGGACGGGACTTGCGAGGCGGACTGGAGCCGGCGTGCGGAACATGTCTTAAGATTTTGCCCGAATCTTGTGGTGAGGGGCACCTCCACGCCGAAGGCATGAGTACGACTCCTTGGAGGCGCAACCATCCCGGCGACGACTCCTACACCAAGCATGAACAACAACTATTGCAACTACTGCAGCAACTACGGTAGCCTCCGCCACGCTGGGGGAAGGAGTCTGCGAAAGCAGTGGCCATGCACAGACTACAGTGACGACGCCTATGGAGGGTCATGGGTGGAGAGCTGCCTCACGACCAGGATGCTGCAGCAGTGGCCGTGCAGACTGCTTTGGACAAGACCATCGAAAAGAACCGCTGTGAGCGCATTGCGTTGAGGCGAAGAATGTTGCGTGCGGACGGCTTGGGCAAGAGTGCGGCTGCGTGGTTCCGTGACGGTGTCAGCTCGTGGTTCCGTGACGGTGTCAGCTACTATAACAATGTGGCGGTACAGGCACATGCAATTAAATATTTTGATCAAGACGCAGTGGACAAAGTACGGGAGTATTACGACGACCATTTTACACAGTGTGCGAGTGGTAGCGACATGGATGTGTATTGGGCGCTCTACGGAGAGTACATGAACAGGCCCGGTGCGACGTGCAGGCGCAGCAGGATTCCCAGGAACATCTACGACGGAATGTGATAACTACGGTGGGCTCCTGGGACGATTGACCGGCCCCGAACGCGGCCGGGTTCCGACGGATGCTCCGGGCGATGGCTGGTCGGGACCAGAAATATTTATCTTTCACTCGTTGTTGGGGTTTTCGATCGCAGACGCTTAATGAATTAGTACACGGCACACTCTTCGTTTCGCTGCCCGCTGCCTCCTTGGAACGCGTAAGCCAACCGAACGTGGCCACCGCAATTTGCTGCTGGGCTCCTCGAGAACGACGCTCGCGCTGTAGATGCATTTTCATTCACTGATGGAAAGCGACGCGATGCGTGATGCAACGGCCTTTCGGTTGGTTCGAGCGGCCCCCGAACAGACATTGAGGCCGCATGTGCCTATATAGCCGCGGTTGATCCCGTTCAATCAGCGCGTATTTCAAGACTGCCTGGCAATGTCGACGGGAATTCCATGCCCAAATCAACATGTGCACCGTTAGTCTCCGCAGGCCTCAGGCACAGGACTGCGCGCGCCGCGCCGCAGATCGGTGCGCGCGCTCAAGCGAGGGCGCGGCCCTGCGTCGATCGGCCCGCCGCCTCAGGGCGCGCGCGGCGTCCGCCCCTGGAACCCTCGCCAGGCCGGATCGGTGAAACGAGAGATTTTGTTGTTTCGGGTGGGCAAAAACCGCAAAATCTTTCATTTCACGGGTCGCGGGTCTGGGTTGCGTCCTCGTCCAGGGCGGATGCGAATGGTTCCTTGGGTGCTTCTGCAGGTGGCTCGCTCTAGGGCGTATCGGGCGTCTCTCGGGGCCTGTCGCGCTCTTCCTCGGGTTCTCGCACTGGTTTTCCCGGGGACCCCGTGGCGCTATAGGCTCAGAGACGTCTCGGCGACGGATTGGGGATCTGGGTTCCACCAGACGCCCAGGGTCGTTTTTCGGCGCGTTCAGGCCGACGTGGAACCCCCGCAATCCCCGGCCGCCCAGAGAACGCCATTGGCGCGTGAAGGGTTACCTGCAGGCGGCGGGTAATGGTGTCCAATTGTCGTGCGACGCCGTGCTGGGCGCTCCTTCAAGTCGCAAGCTCGGTCGATTCGCACAGTTGGCGTCGCGTCGCGCAGATGTCGGCCTCATCGCGATCAGCGATGATTTAGGCATGAGGGCCAGTAACATAAAATCTACAGGCCGACCAGCGAAAAATAATCATTTCTGGCCCCTAGCTGGGACCGCCCCAGGCCCTGGCCAGTGGTCCCCAGGCGAACTACTTCTCTTGCCGGACTGCAATCGACGAGTTGATCAATCTATGTGTGCGTGCTGACCGATCCGAATGGCCCCCGGCTTTGCTGCGCTGGCGACAGTTGCACCTTGCCGAAGACGAGGCCGCGGACGTGGCTCCGATCGACCGTCTGCGCCCGATTGCCGTGGCCTGCGCCGTGGTCAGGGCTTGGCACAGACACCGCGCTACTCAATTGGTGGAGTTTCTCTTACACGCCTTCCCGCGCAACCAGGGAGGGGGCACGAAGGGCCGCGCTCTTGAGGCTCTCTTGGGGCCAATCATTTTTGCAATGGAAGAAACAGTGGCAGCCAACCGCCCGTCGCCTGAACAACGCTCGGGTTACACTGCCGCGGAACAGGCGTGGTGTGACGACGCCGCCGGCCACTTGTACGTCAAGAGCTGGGACTACTCCTCCGCCTTCGACCGGGTGGGCCTTGACCGCGTCGCGGCGATTTGGTTTGAGTTGGGTGTCCCAGCTACAGTGAGCAAGAGTATTTTGTATGTGCGGAAACACCCGACACGCTGGGTGGAAATGGGGCCTTCCGTATTTTTGGGTCCGATTTGTGGGCGGTCTTCCCTCCCTCAGGGGGATCCCGCTTCGGCGCTGGGGATGGTTGCGGTGCCAATGCCGGCTCTGCGGCGCATCGGGGCCAGGTGCCCACGAACGATCCTCTGCACGTATGCGGATGACCGCACTGTTGCGGCGAGGGCGCGCGCAGACTTGGCCGCAGTGGAACTCGAATGGGCATTGCTGGAGTCAGTGACCGCCTTGCGCACCAACGCTGCCAAGACGCAATCTTCTCACTTGCGACCAGATTCCGCCGATCGCGACCTGGCCAACATGCGCACGAAGGCATTAGGCGTCGACTTCGGAACGCAGAGAAAACACTTCACAGAGCGTGAGCGAAAGAAGAAAGATCAACATTGCCACCCGTTGACTACAGCGCATTGCGCGCTTGCCACTACCGCAGGAGGTGCGACGACAGGCGGTCTCGGCACTTGCCATGCCGGTGGCCTCCTGGGCCCTGGTCGTAAGTCCGCCTCTTGGATACTTGGTACAAAGCATGATTCAGGGCGCCAAGCGCGCGGTGGTCGGCAGACGATGGCCTGGCGCTGCGCCGGAGCTACAACAATTTCTTGTTTCCGGGCATGCGTGTGATTTCCGTTGCCATTTGTGTCGCCGCGTGGTGCTGTTGCCACGCGGAAGGCAAGTCCATATCGGGCGAGAAAAGCTTGATTTTTGGACGCGCGCTACAACGGCCACCAGCACGACTCGGCCACTGCGCGCCTTCCAACAATATCTGACATCCGTGAGGGCCTCCCGCGACGGGGCCGCGCCTGTCGGCCGGTGGGCGCGCGGAGACGCTGCAATCGAATTGGGCGACCGATTTCAGCGCATGTGCCACGAATTGTGCTCGATCTGGAGCGCAGCGGTATGGGACCAGTACAGACGCCGCGCTGCGCGGACGGACAGTGCCATCGCCCGAGACCGCGACTTCCAGCTCTGCCCCTTGGCGTTGCGCGCCGCGTATGATCAATCCGTGCGGCGGGATGTCGGCGCACGTCATCGCTGTCTTGACCGGAGGTGCGTGGTCGGACGCCAAATTGAACAAGGTGGTAGCAGCGGATGTGGGCATGTGTGCGCGTTGCCCCTCCGGCAGCGTGCCCAATATGGAACGCCACTACTGGGCTTGCGACGCCCGCGACAACGACCGACAGCATGCCGACGTGGCCGCCCCGCAGCATCCGCTGACACGGCGGATCGGCTGGACACGGGAGCCGCTCACAAAGCGGGACCTGGCGGCCTGGCAGCGCATGGTGTGCTCTATGGCACTAGTGCGACGAAAATTATTGGACTGGCGTCGTCGACTTTCCGACGCAGGGCACGAACACGACGACGACAACGACTGTTACGACGACTGGCGGGCTGCAGCACGGTTGGGGCACGGGCGCCCACTTGCAGCGACACTGCCCCGGGTGGTGGTTTTATTTGCAACGACGCTGCCCCGGTTGGTGGTCCTGCTGCGCATTTCTGTAGTGGAAACGGTACTCCGCATACGATTTCATATGTTAACAATATTAGCAAAGCGTGGAATCAATGTTTGTGACCATTTCACTCAGTGGTAACCATATTCATACACATTATCATCATCTTCATCCACAACATTCCGACCAAAGCGACCATGGGTAAATAGCTTGACGCTGCCGGTGTCCGTCATGGGCCATGTGGGACCGCACATCAACGGTCGCTCGGCGACCCTGCCGGGACCTGGTTATTCCCCAACCGCCAAACGAACAACAAGATGTGGAAACCCACGTGCGACGGCGAGAAATTCCCAGCGTACCACCCGCTGATGGAACCCGAGGGCTATATGGCGTGTTTGGATGCCACCACCAAAGCATTCGGCTCCTGAACGCCCTGCAGGAGCAAGTGCAGCTGCGGTGCGCCAGGCAGAGCGCCCAGTCCGCCTGCCTCCTGCACCCCGCGCTCGCCTTTTTTTGGGCCATGCAGGCATTTTTCGCGCTGCCCTTGCTTTTCCTCACCACACAAAGCTGGTGCTGAGCCAAGATGTGTCTGAGGCAACAGGCAGCCTGGCGCTGCTTAATTATCGGGCGTCCCCGATGTTCTTCCTGTTAGTTCTGACGGCTCCAATGGCCAGCGAAAACATCACCACCGTCGCTATGCAGTTCCCTGCTGTGGATCCGCATCTGCTTTTACCCGGAGGGCTCTGCGGTGCTCTGACACTCATGTGCGCGCATGTTTTCCCGGCCTGCCTCGATGCGGCGAGGTCAACAAATGACATGACTAAAGGCGGCAGGGCTGTGTATGTCAGGTGCAGCGTTAATAGACCAAGGGGACGATGCATCGCCCCCCCATCTCCCATTCATCGCCGATATGGGCCCGATTGCCCACCGCGCCCATCCCGAGGGAGACAAACAAGAGGAATAAACAAAACTATTTCAAGAGATAAAGTGAGAGACAAACAAACAGACCAGACATCTACCTATACGACCACCCTTCGGTGGGGGGAGGGGGGGACGAACATCCGATCTCACTATCGATCTCACCCAACGGGACACCACGGGACACCAGCACACCACGGGACACCACGGGACATTTGTCGATCTCACCATCGATACCACTATCGAACTCACTCAACGGGACACCACGAGACACCACGGGACACCGCGGGACACCTCTCGATCTCACCATCGTCCTCACTATCGACCTCACTATCGATCTCTCTCAAGGGGACACCACGGGACACCTCGGGACACCACATCGATCTCACTATCGATCTCACGATCGATCTCACACACGGGACACGACGGGATACCACGGGACACCACGGGACACCACGGGACATTTGTCGATCT